GCATGCAGTCCTGGAATTCATTCCAACTCCTTAATAGCAGCTCAGCTCTAGGTCCTGTGACAGAAGAGGCAGAACTTAAGAATATAAGAGTTGCCAGCATTCCAACTGCTAATTGTTTCGTAAACATGGATACATGGTGGATTGTTCCCCCTCATGTTTGATGCTCTGTGTGTGGGTGTATATGAATCGTGCTCCCAGCTCCATTTTAGAATTCAAACTTTATTTTACAAGTTTTTCTGCCATATCACATCTGGTACTGTGCTGTGCTACCTTTGTAGCGTTATCCTCCTGAAGGACAGAGTTCCAAATCCCTTGCATAATTTCTTTCCAATATTCCATTAGATTGGAAAAATAAAAGTTATCATTCAGAAAGTCAAACACTGAAGCAGGTCCTTGTATCTTCAATTTTCATCATCTACAGTCTGACAGTGCAGTATCTTCCTTAGATAGCATTGAAGTTGATCAACTTTTTCCCACACTTTCTCCCCCCTACTGTTTATCAAAACTTTAAAAAATGTGTTTCTGCACATTTCTTGAGGCAGTATCAGTGGCTAGTGCTGCTTCTCTTTGCTGTTCATATTAATTCTTGGTTATTCATTTGCAGCTAAGCAGACATTGCACATTGCCCTGGGAGGTGTCAAACATGAATCCAATATTTTGCTCCCTTGGCTAATTTAATATGCAGAATTCTGAATAATAAAAAGGAAGATAACCTATATTCTACTTCTCTATATATCTTTATATATAACTACAATATATACTATATTTTTTTTTATTTTTCTTAATTTAATTTAATAAGATAAAAATAAATTTATCTCCATATATAGATCCTCCTCTGCCACCTCTCCTGCCCTTTACAACATCTTATTCCTAGAGATGAGGTAAACCCCCACTTTTTTAGCTTTCTGAAAGAATGTTAAAAAATGACTTTGCCAATTAGCATAGGTAGAAGAGTGTTAGGCAATCCTGGGGGTGGAGGGTGATGTGAGGATGCTCCCTCTGCCTGTTTTAACTTGCAATTTCTCAATTTTAACTTTGTTCTTAACTTTGTGTTAACTTCGTTGTATTTATGCTTTTATATCTCTTTTTATGTTTTTATTATAAACTGCCCAGAATCTCTTAGATGAAATAGGCAGAACAAAAATCTAATAAATAAATAAAAATACATTAAAAATGTAAGAAAGCAATGCAAAATGCTCTTCCAGAAACAAAGAGATGTTTGTAATGTCTCCTTCTTGTTTAAAATGCAATTTGTTTTTGTATAATAGCTGCAACTGCAAAATCGATTAATATGGGTACTCATATCATAATTATTATAAAGAAGTTACAATTTTAAAAACAACACAGTTAGAAAAATTAATAAAACTTCATCCATGACAGTTTTGAAAATAAGAATACAACATTCAATATCTATTTCAATGTAGTATTAAAATTTTCAGAAGAAATACTACAAAGGTTAATTGATAATACTCAGATCTTAGTACAGCAATAAGCTTAAATTTTACTTACCGTTTTCCTATAATGCTCAAGTGTTCTAGCTAAACTAAATAGAACTGGGTATTTTTTTTCAATAACAAACTTGAAGACTCCAAGAGCTCCAATCAGAAGGAAGGCCATTCTGTTTTATAACATCTAACCCATATTGAACATAACAATCATTAACTTTCTGTGACACAAATTGTAGTTATACTATTTTTTTGTTTTTATGTACTTTTTAAACTTATTCTGAATTGTCAGCTTTGGAAATTTGAATATCAGTTCTCTTGTGCTGACTGCAATAGAATTAAGTAAAAATATATTTAAAAATAAGCTTCCATTGCAAGATTGATTGATTTTATTTATTTCTTACACTTTGTTTGCCAACCATCCTGCCTAGAGGTTGGCTAACTAACATTGAAAGGCAATAAAATACTAGAAAAATAGTTATAATAATTTACAATTAAAAAGATGAAGATGCAGAACCAATGTCCATAAATATCACCTCCAAAATTCTTAATCATCCAGTTAACTTGATTATTTCAGTTTTGCTATCCTACCAACCTGCTCATGCAATTTCTCTTTATTTTTATCCTGCCTTTCACAATATGCAAAATGATTTGATATGGGATGTGGGATGTTATTCTCAATTTGTAAATGCTTCTGTCATTATTCATCTCAGCTTAATTCATAATGTCCTCCTTTGTTCGATAAATTATATATAATTACTATTATTATATAGATGTTGAAAGTTGCATAATTAAGCAATCCAAACAGAAGTGAATTTATGCTCTAAGCTAAGGACAACAAAGACGTACTGAAGCTGCTTATGTCATTGCTGAGTCTAGAGGTGGAAATTAATGGCATGCTGGAAATTGATGAGACAAAAATAAGGAGTCTATCTTAGAACCTGGGAAACTCATTGAAAGCAGATTTATTTACTCAACAGGAACAGAAAAGGGGGGGACGACTCCTGCAATCATGTCAGTTTTGTAAAAAGTTTCTGAAATTTATTTTATTCTAGTTATCAGTGTCATTAGCTTGTAAGCCTAGAATAAGTAATGTAAGAACATCCATTCCTTTTTTTTTTTTTTCATAGAGCAGCCTACAAAATTTAGGGCTGGTGTTGATTCTCAGGAGCAATTCAGGATTTTTTCCCCTCCTCAATAACTTCCAATTCTCCATCCTATAAGCACTTAAAAGACTTTTTCTAGTTATGCATATTTGCATCTTCTTTCAACCACAATAATTTCTAATATTGATCACATCTAAAAGTTAACACTTTTTTTGCTCTTATTTTGCATCCTTGTTCATCATAAAATGTTTTATGTACAGCTTGCTCTTAAAGGTATTTTGCTCCAATGTAAAATATTTTTTATGAATCTGTTGCCGGTCTATACTTAAAAGGCTAATTTACTCCTAGGTTTACAATTACATTTGTACTAAGAGTACAATTACAAATAAAATATTTTTAAAACATAGAAAGAAAACTTATTGAGCCATGTTGGAGCAGTGGTTAGAATGCAGTATTGCAGGCTACTTCTGCTGCCTGCTGGTTGCTTGCAATTTGGCAGTTCAAATCTCACCAGACTTGAAGGTTGACTCAGCCTTTCATCCTTCCAAGGTGGGTAAAATAAGGACCCAAATTGTTGGGGGCAATATGCTGATTCTGTAAACTGCTTATAGAGGGCTGTAAAGTGGTAGATAAGTTTAATTGTTATTATTATTACTATTTAATCCAATATCTGTGGGTACAGTATGCTAGATTGTGCTTTTAGTGTTATTTAGGGGGCTTTCAATGGAACATGGTCAACTGATCAATCCAAAAAAACTTTTCCAGCGAGAAGCTTTTCCAATTTGCAAACACTTAGATTCCCTAAGTGTATATGAGCGTCATAGAAGTCACCGCACAGGATCCTCCAGACAGTGGCAGTTCACAAGATGACTCTGGAATAGTGCTCTGAAGTTGCCAGGTGAAGGATTAAGCAGACTTCTCTGGCATTGCATGTCAAGGAATATATGCACCTTGTTATTCAAGGACAGATAGATGTGCCATTCATATTTCTGCAAATGTAACATTCCAACTAGGGGGGGCATTTGAACAGAAAAACATAGAGCAAGAAATCAGATCAACCAATCTTCATGCAGAATGCACACCTCCATACAATGGGCTGTTGGAATTTAGGAGCTATGCTCATCAGCCTGTCTACTGCTATCTGCAAACCTGTTTACCCTTCAACCCCTTCACAAGATAGGTATGTGGTGATGCCAACATGCAGTTGTAGGCAACTCTAAATTAGCCTCAAGCACCCAATTGAGAGGCAGGGATACAGCCACTTTCCAGTTGAAAAAGCAGTCATGGGGGTGGGGTGGGGTTTGGTTCCAAAGACATTAAATCAGGTCTTCCATTTCTTAAAACACTCTACTATCTCTACTAAACTAAAAGAGGCTCTTTTAGCCCATTTAAACTGTTATTCCTCTTTTTTTTAAAAAATAAAATATTTCTTTGTCTTAAACTAAGATTTATTTGACCCTGTTTCTATTGAGAAATTGCTTCTGGTTTTTATGCTAGAAATAAAAAAACAATGAAACACAGAATTTAGTTAAATATTGAATAGTGTGTACTTATAGAAATGATTTGGAAATCAACAGCTTTTTGTCCCGTTTAAATCTTGCACTCTCCCCCCTTCATAATGTTTATTTTCATTTATTGTATTTTATGTTATAACAAATGTCAATAAAAAGTGATTAAAAAGAGTGTTATTTGGGATTAAGGATCTATCCAATTATTAAGAGGAGGGGGGAAAGATGTTAATTTCCAGAATGATTGGAACCTTCATCCCCTCATAATCATAGACCACAAAAAAGTGAGATATAGGTAAAATTAAGAATTTCTATGCTTCATCTCTTTGTCATTCTGCCTGCTCGTTAAGAGAGCGCTATTCTAAAGTCACTTTCCTTTGCCTTTTCCAGGCATGTAAGCCTTTAAGTAGTTTTGTCTGTCCCCAAAATATATTTTCTTAGGTGCCTGCTTGTTTTAACTGGACAGCCAGGATGACCTCACATCTTGAAAGATCCTATACACTCCTGACAGACATTCTATATGCATTTGTCCCAGGAACAATCCCCACCACAATAAGGCAGCACAGCAGTGCTGGTGTGTGTGTGTGTGTGTGTGTGTGTGTGTGTGTGTGTGTGTGTACACGCGCGTTCATGCACGCTATTCAGATTCTCTCCAACATGCATATGCAGAACAATGTAACCTCCACTGCTAAATTGTGGCAATTAACACTTCTGTTGGCAATAAATTGAAAGATTACATTATTTCACACAGGCTTTTCCCTTGGGAGCGCTATAGTGAATTCCCAGAGTTTGGATAGTTTCACATGTAACCCTTCTGTCCTAAAATAGATATTGAGAAAACAGTTATGCTTCTTCCATTTTAAAACACATTAAGAATAATGCCAAGATATTGTTTCACTTATTCTACAATATATCAGCTAAAACAGAAAGTCCAATATAGATTATAGGAATATTGAAGAAAATTTATTCATATTACACATATCAATATACATACATGAGCTCCTCAATGCAAATAGAGAGATCCTGGGCATAACTCAAGAGTTGCTCAGTGCACTTACATTGGCATGTAACTAAATTTTCTTCAATGTACATATAAACACACATTGTTTAATACATAGATACTGGAAAGCATCAGTAGCCAAGATGTTCTCTTTAACAAATGGGAAAATTTTTGAGAGACCCACTGAAAAAAGTACTATTTTGAGTTTTTGGAGTAGCATTCTTATGTGTGCTATCCTGAACACATAATTTGGTAATATTAGGGAAAGATGGGAAATAATTTGTATGGCAATTTATAAAAACCAAATAGGCCCTGCACCTTACTTGAAGAAAACCTTTTACATTGCCTTCTCCTGGTCTTCTATGTTTTGGTTGAAAGTCAAATGAGGATATTATGCAGGACTCTGATTCAGTAGGACTCTCTTCAGATTTTGTTGAGGGCATGCTGGAGAAAGCAGAGTGTCACATTTAATGAGCCTTATCAGAAAAGCAAACAGCATGCCTTCAACAGATTTCATCAACATTTTTGGTGAGTAGCATGCCCACCATGCAAAGTATTAACAGCCTTTCAGATGGCCATGTTGCCTAACAAAGGAACTATGAGGGAGCCCTTTGCATGAAACTTTGTTGAAGCAAAACATCCCTTCAAAGACTTCCATAGCCCTGATAAATACCTCTATGGCATCATCCAGTATTACATTGGACTTTCATCTTCTAAAATCTGAGAAGACTGACAAAATGATTGGCACACTGAAGTCTATCGCTACAAGTTCTCAAATCTTTTCTGTTTTGCAACTTGTAAATTCTGCCAAGATAGAAAAGGTTAAATGTTTCATTTCCTTTTTTCTAGTTTTTTTATTGATTGATCATGGTATGCTTCTAAATTGTTTCTTCTAAAATATGTAGCTTTATTACACCAAATATTGTTGCTATTTTGTTATTTTTCAGAAGAAAGTGCTAACAATTCCAGAAAATGATACCAGGGATGAGTTTGTTCTTGACATTTAGGAGAACTTATCAGACAGTTTGTACTGCAATTTATCAGTATGCAAAGGACATATTGTTCCCTCATCTTTTACCTAATATGACTGAATAAATTTTGGGCTGGTAATGTGAAGGCTTATTGGGTAAAATTGAATGCTAACAAGGTAAACTTCAACCCAATGGAGACAAATAATACATTCATTCTTTAATCTTTCAGAAAGGAGTTAGGGGTTTTCCTGGACCGCAATGCAGGTATCATTGGTGGCCAAGAATACATTTTTTCATCTTTAATTGACTCACTTGTTTTCATCTTCACTGGAGAATAGATCTTGATTCGGTAGTTATAACATCATCATCATCATCATCATCATTTTTTTGGTCGCTTACCAACAAAATTACATTCAATGTTAAAATTAAAACCATTATTTGTGCCAATGATCTAATCTACATACTACAGGAATAATTAATAAAATTAAAATTCAATGTATTATCACAAATATAAAAAGCAATACTTTTAAGGTTATATATAGGTACTCCTCAACTTACGATCATAAGTCCAAAATTTACACTGCTAAAAAATTGTTAAGTTACTAACATGTTGTTAAGTGAATCTGGCTCCCTCGTTGACTTTGTCAGAAGGTCACAAAATGACATTGAAACACTGCAACTGTTATAAATACATGCCAGTTGCAAAATATCCAAATTTTGGTCATGTGACTACAGGGATGCTGCAACAGTCATGTGAAAAATGGTCATAAGTCACTTTCTTCAGTGCAGTTTAAACTTTGAATGGTCACTAAACAAATGATTGTAAGTGAAGAATTACCTGTAATTGAGATTACAAATATATACCTAGTGATTATATCTGAACTAAATTGCTATAAACACTCAATATGAAACTACCTTAACATGATTAGTGGACTGGAGACTAAAATCTATAAAGAACGGTTGCTGGAATTGGGTATGTCTAGAATGAAAAGAAGAACTAGTGGTGATATGATAGCAGTGTTTCGATATTTCAGGGGTTGCCACAAAGAAGAGGGAGTCAAGCTATTCTCCAAAGCACCTGAGCACAGGACAAGAAACAATGACTGGAAACTAATCAAGTAAAGAAGCAACCTAGAACTAAGGAGAAATTTCCCAAAGTTGGAACAATTAATCAGTAGAACAAACTTGTCTTCAAAAGTTGTGAATGCTCCAACACTGGAAGCTTTTAAGAAGAGATTGCACAGCTATTTGTCTGAAATGGTATAGGACCTCCAAGGTCTCTTCCAACTATGTTATTCTGTTCTGTTCTAAATTTCAAATAATCCAAATATAGTAGCAAGAATACTCTAAAAGTATAATACCGATTCTCTTCTTGAACCAAAGACTCCCTATTTATTTCTCCCCATATGATAAAATACTTGTTTTTGGCTTTGCAGGTCTTAATAATGAAGAAGTATTTGCATGAAATGCATGAGCATTTGTTTATTACATCTTGATCAAAATGCATTGTTCATTTAAAGTTGCATAATAAGAATATTAAGTTGATGGTTTCTTATACATTCTACATCTTTTAATGGCAGTTGCTCTGAAAATAGCTTAACTCTTCTAATTAAAAAAATAAAATGAATACATATATATAATGTTCAGGTAAATTGCTAATTTGCTTCAGTTAATGGAAAAATAGTCCACAGGCAGTACAATTGCCTACAACTCTGGTATTGCATTGGGTAGATTTGCCCCTTTGAGAAAATAAAATGAAACTTGACCAACAGTATAAGATGAATACCATTGTTTGAATGTTTATTTCTAAACATTTAAGTGTAAGAAATATAACCAGTCCCGTTTTGTACAAAAATACCTGAAAGATAACAATTAAGTTCACTAGTCAAAAAAAAAAAAAAGGAAAGCTATTTACAATATGAAGCAATGCATATTGAATAAGAGGTTGTGTCCCTTAAGTTAATAATTTTTGCATTCCCTGATAACTTTTATTTTATTTTACAGTCACAATAAGTCTTGTGGTATGATAATATAGTTTATGCTAAGCAAGTCTTGCCACTGGAAAGGTGCATTGATTGGTCAAAATAGTCAGGTACTTAGTGCAGAAAAGTTAAGACAAAACAATCTAAAAATAGAGGCACATTTTTCTTCAAGATTAATTCAACAAATAAAAAGCTGTACTTTTAAAAAACACAAATAATATAATTTATCTATTTTTTTTAAAAAAATTACCAAATGGTTTGGCATTTTCCTTCTTAACATATTACAAGATGCTTTATGACATATTTTATTTACAAAACTATCACAGGCAAAAATAAAATAAAATCAACAGGCTCCAGAACAACCCTGAGCATCCCTCTTTACATTCATGTCATTTAAATATTTTTTTAAAAAAATCAAATTTCCTTCAACCCTTATTTCCTAAGTTGTCAGATAGCTGTATCTGTTAGTAATTTTAAGACAGGTTAGATTGTACATTTCCAACAAAGGGAAGAAATGCAATAATTACGTGCTCAAGTAATTCTGAAGATAGTACAAAACAGTTTGCCCTCTTCATTCAAATTTATAATTGACAACTTACATTGTCAAATTCAATTAAATGCAATTTTTATAACATGAAACTATTGCTGGGAAACTGAACAATTGGAGCCAAGATACTGAAAAATAACTTAGTTTCTAATAAACTCAAACAACTTCACTTAAATTTGAAAATCAGTATTTTGGGGAAAAAAGTTTAAATCCATTTTACGAATATGCAATATTAAGTCAATTCATATTACTTTATAGATGTTTACAAAATATGTAAAATGTAATAATCAAAATATTTCTAACAAAAATCAAGTTTCTTCATTGTATATATAGAAATTTCATGGAAAAACCCCTATTAGATTTGTTCTGTAAACTAAAATACAGTGTTTTTTCATCTGCTATGGAAAATCAAGCTGGTTATATTGTTTTAAGATACTCTTAACAGTATATGATTACCTTGTGAATAAATAACTGTACTCAATTTCAACTGTTCAGATTGCTATTAGTCACATGCAATAATTAATATTAATTAATATCAATATAAAGGTTCAAGATTCCTGGAGCAAGAGAGAAGATATTTCACTCGCAAGTAATTCTGAACATTCATAGGCTGGAACAAACTTCTTGATACATAAAACATAAAGCACTTCCTATATGCACTTAACTATCATCCCCAAAAGACGATAATCATAATCATTGACCTTATTTAAGTGCAAGCTATCAATGAAAGAAGTGTTGCTATGTAAACATGAAAAGCTGAAATATTAACAAACATTGCCGTGATTTCATTGTTATTAAATTCTCCACATGGTATATCTCCATGTACATAGTTATGCAGAATTAGAAAACATGAGTCAATACCGTTACATTGACAAATATCTCACTTTCGTGGCATATAATTTTATTTGCCACATTTACTGCTAGAAAGCTGTGCCTTTCAAGAGAAATAAAGCATTATTTGTTCTGCATAGCTATGTACAAATTAACATTCTAAGTATATGGTTTTAGGAAGCCTAAACCAGGACTCATAGTAGGATGATGAACTAGGATTGAAGTAAGGTTTCTCTAGTTGTTACAGATACTGGCATGCAAATTTTAGTGCACAAATTCCAAAAAAGTAAATTGTCTGAACTGTCAATGGCATGTCTTTCTGTGGCAGAGACAGCTGAGCATATAATTTCCAAATGAAAATGATTTATCCAGTTATTATACTGCTACACATGTATTGCTCTCTTTTACAGCTTAGACTGAAATAGATGGAGAGAATGTGAAGCAGTGCTTGAGGGATGATTTCCACAGTTTTGACCAAGCTCACAGTCCAGCAGCATGTAATCAGACTGCATTTCTCACTTTTACTTTTAGTGTGATATAATTACATTATATCTATAATTATATCTAGCTATAATTAGAAGATTGAGAATGCTAAACGAACACTTCTCCTTTGCTTTCACTTTTGATTCTATTTATAATTTGTGTAACCCCAACAACAGTATTTTCATTAAGCAAAGAAACATAAAATCAGAACTGTGCTTCGGTTATTAGAAAATACACTTCCAGAGAAAAAATAATTGGAAGGAACATGCAGACTTACAGAGCACTCTTAAATTCCTAACCATGGTTAGAAGACTAGGCAGTGTTATATGTGCAATGGAGCTATATCATACATTCTGAAGAGTGAAGGAAATAATGCTAAAAATAGGAAACACTGATTTGTTTTATACCAAATATACTACATAAATGACAATCTATTCACTCCCAATCAAAACATAAAAAGAAGAAAAAAAGCCAGATAATTCCAAATACATATATTATCATTCAATGCTAAACTGGCTACTGACAGTGGACTTCCCCATAGCATCTGTGCAGAAAGAGGACCTCCAGCAGATTGGGAAGGACAGGGACAATCAAAACAGTTCAAACCATCTGTGCATGGAAGTAGAGTCCTCTTTCAGACACACAGTCATTATATTATAAAGCATACACTAGTGGGATATTTTTCCTTCCCAGAATTGTTCTCAATTGTTGTTTCTTCAACACAAATGGTGGATTATTTAATTTCAAGGGGGAGAAGCTATTTTTTGATTTTAGATTATAATAAGGCTGAAGCAAATTACTCAATATATGATTTAGAACACCCAAATCAGGCATCAATTTAAAAACTCTATCATCTATTATAGACTATAATTTTCAAAAGGAGTGCAAAAAAATTGAAAGAGAAAGAGAGGAAGGGAGGGAGGGAAGAATACAAAGAAAGTAAACAATAAAAAAAAAAGAAAATACTCAGTTTGAAATTGTCAAGATTTATCCAGGGCAAGAGTTCATTTCAATAATTTTGCTTCACAAACCTGACTCTGTTATGTGGCAAGCCAAGGGACAATTTCCAGTTTTGTTTAGTGTTTTTACATAATTTTTCCCAGTTTGGGCAGGGGGCAATTGCTGGGACACTCAGCAGAATCAGGCATAGGATTTAGACAAAAGAGTCAAATCTTGGACTGTTGGCACCAGCTCAAGCATCCCTTTCCAAGTCCCCTAATTTTGATGATATATTTTGTTCCTCAAAAGCAACTATAAGTTGGCTTAATGTCCCACGGTCAACTTTCTTCAACAAAACTTCTCTTCCATCTCCAGTCTTGGAACAAACCAGTCATCTGCATGGACTGGTACAAAGGTCACAAGGCCACCCGGATGCAGTGATGTTTGAGTTTACAAGGCAAAACTCCCTTGTTTAATTGATAGAATTCAACAAGTTGTATTAGGTCAGTGAATTTGGTGCTGCCATCATCTAGACTGAAAAATATCTGTCCGTCATCTTCACACTTGAAAAATGAAAATGAAACAAAAATAAAATGCTAAAGACAGAAAACAAATTATTCAAAAAGGAGTGTTAAAGTATCTCATCCAGTATGTCTATCCCCCTATTCATATCATGACCTTTACCTCCTAGCTTTTTTTTTCTCCTGCATAGTGCAGCCCCTGAAGCTACATGAATTCCACAATTCTCAGATTTCTGTGGAATTACAGTTAAATCAAACAAACCAGAATTCTCAATCAAGACACAAATGACCAGTCTCAAATTGCTCTAGTTTTTTTTTTGAATTATGATGAAAAAGTTCGACTTCAATCTCACAGCACAATTGTCTGGAGAAGACTCTTATGCTGGGAAAGGTGGAAAGAAAGATAAGTAGAGGATGAACAGCAGCCAGGTAGATGGACTCAGTTACAGCAACAATGGGTGCCCTCTTGGAATACCTGAAGAACCACATTATGAATAGATCATCATGGAGAAAATCCATCTGTGTGGACCCTGAGAGTTGACAGTAAGTTGATGGCACAAAATCAATTAAAACCATCTCTTTCCAAGTATTAATAGGTTAAGCAACTTAAGATCAATTAGTTCCAGTAAAGAGCCATCAATGCAGCATTTAAAGTTAAGAAATAAAAGAAAGTAGAGTGAATGTAGAAAGTCTACATTCCCTGATAAAATGCCAGGTTTTTGACCTATAAAAAAGATCAAACCAAGGTAAATCACTTTACAATTCTTTCCACCTTTAATATATCATATAAACTATGCAATTCAATTGAAAAACAAACTGAAACAATCCGAGAGGAAAAATTAACAATAAAAAATTTAAAATAATGAGATTGCATAAGTATGTACACCCTTAAACTAATACTTTGCTGAAGCATCTTTTCATTTTATGACACATTCAGCCTTTTGTGGAAGGAGCCTATCAAAGCCTGGCACATCTTGCTTTGGGAATCTTTGCCTATGCTTCTTTGCAAAAGCGCTTCAAAACTATCAGATTGCAAAGGCACCTTTTGTACTCAGATTTCTTCAGATCACCCCACAGATTTTCAATTGGATTCAGGTCTTGACTCTTGCTGGGCTATTCTGGAACTTTGATCTTCTGGTGAAGTTGTGTTGAAAGGTGAAATTCCTCTTCATCTTCATTTTAGCAGAAGCTTGAAGGTTTTGTGCCAAAATTGACTGATATTTGGAATTGACCATAATTTGCTCCAGCTTAATTAAAGCCCCATTTCCAGCTGAAGAAATGCGGCCCTAAAAAATAATGCTGCCATCAACATATTTCACGGTGGGTTCATAGTATTGTTTTTGTCCCAAACATACTTTTGAATTATGATGAAAAAGTTCAACCTCAGTCTCATCAGACCACAATTTCCCACATGCTTTTGTCAGATTTGATGTACATTTTTGCAAAATGAAACCAGGATTGGATATAATATAGTAAAGACAGGTCAATAATTTACAAATAGATTTATAGTTTGAAAAATGGGGGGGGGGCTGTTTCACATGGGGGGGGTAGAGAACTAATATCATAGTAATGTATTAATTGGTATTCAATTAGGGTGGTATGTGTGTGTGTGTGTTGGTCACAGCCCAGACATATGATCAGTACAGAAGATTATCGTCACACATAGTATACAACCTGTATCTGCCATATTTTCTCCACTTGTTGAAGGCATTCTTACTTTGTTCTATGGTTTGGAAATTGTTTGTACCCTTCTCCTGACTGATACTTTCCAAAAGTGAGATCCTTTTGATGCTCTGAAAGCTCTTGCTGTTGCTGTAAGAGGCAACTGAGTAAATAACCAGAAAAATCCTACCAGCACAGCTGAACTTTATTTGGACTTGATCAGTCACTTTAGTTAACAACAAGTATGTACAGACTACTATTTACCATCCATTTGAATGCAATTGATTAATTCTGAACACAACCATATATCCACTTATAAGAGGATGTGAACACTTATGCAGCCGCATTATTCTAGTTTTTTATTTTTATTCCTCACTAAACATTTTAACCTTGCTTTTCAATATCCACTGTATATGCTGATATAAGAAATTGTATAGCTAGTAATCGAATGTGTGTGTGTGTGTGTGTGTGTGTATAATACGTTTTGTGCAGACTAAACCACGTATCTGAGACTGACAATCCTACACTTAAGTAAGTAATTATCAATTCTTTAGAAAAATTAAGGGGACAGAAATAAATGCACATTCTGAAAGATATCATCACCAGTACTGCCTGGGTGGAATGTTATACTTACCGGTAAAATCTGAAAATGTTTAATTTTTTGATGATGACACAATGTAAGTACAAATGCCTTTGGATTACTCTGGCTGTCCCGAAGAAGAAATAATCTACAAAATAACACTGTATGTTACTACCAGATTGACTATATAGTTCTTATAAACAAACAATTCCACTGCTTTATGATATCATCAGTACATAACATATTCCATGTCTATTCATAAATAATCTAATATTTCATTGATAAAAATAATATAAAGAAAAACTATACATAAGAAGCTGATACTCTATGTATGTTCAAGGATACAATATTAATTGTTTGATTTCTTGAGATCTGAGCATTAAAGTGATTTTGGAGTTTATTTTGTTTAGTGTATGGCAAATACATGGACTTATAGTAGTTCAAATGTTAATGTCCAGGCCACCCAGCCATTCAAGGATAGGGTGGTCTTGAGGAGGACCAGACTTTGGGGGTTCAGACCACAGTCTTGGTTCAGACTCAAAGTCTTGATATTAAAGGCCCAGAACTTTGGTCAAGGCTGAATGTTCCTCCCTCCGACAGTAAGGAGTTGCTGAGATGACACAAGGTATTTTTATCTGTAAAAGAGCAGACTGACCCAGACAGATGCATCCTGTTGTTCACTTCTACATTCCACCCTAAATGTCATGTATAACATATGATAGTGTATGTAACTCCCTGTATATTCATGTGACTCCCTTTTTCCTTCTAATCTATAACCAAACGTCTGGACTAGGCGTCTTTCAGTTCCTCCTAAGACCATATATGTCTAAATGTACCACCCAGACGATGTATACGTAATTTAGAGTATAAGAACTATGCCTTTGTAAACCCTTCGGGGTTCAAACATTTTGCTGTGTTATTGCTGTTTGAACCTTTTATGCATAATAAACCTTTCCTACATTGAAGAGCATTGAAGCCTTGTCCCGTCTTTTCCTACAACAGTCTATGTTGAAAAACCTACTCACATGGGTGGACACACTCTGGACTTAGTTTTTGTCTCTGGTCAGTGGTCGAGTGGCCTTGATACAGGGGATATAGTCCTCGAACCCTTGTCATGGTCTGACCACTCGCTCCTTCGACTGGACTTTCTAACCGCTGCACCCCGCTGCAGGGAGGCGGGACCAACCAGGTGGTTCCGCCCCAGGTGCCTGATGGATCCTGATAGGTTCCAGATGGAGCTTGGGCCATTTCCTGAGACTCTGGCTCATGAAGACCTGGTGGCCGCCTGGGATAGTGCGGCCGCCGGGGCTTTGGACCGTGTCATGCCTTTGCGGCCTCTGACCCGGCACCGAACTCACCTAGCTCCTTGGTTCTCCAAGGAGCTGAGGGAAATGAAGTGCCGGAAAAGACGCCTGGAGAGTAGTTGGAGGACCAGCCGCTCCGAATCCGACCGAACACTGGTGAGGTCTCATATTAAGACCTACCGAGTGGCGATAAAAGCGGCGAAATCCAGCTATTTTGCAGCTCTTATCGCGTCATCAGATAATCGCCCAGCCACCCTGTTTAGGGTGACCCGCTCCCTCCTCCATCTGGAAGCGCGGGATGATCCCTTGCAGGGTCGAGCTGAGGATTTTGTGCAGTATCTGTATGACAAGATCGCTCAGATTCGGGAAGGCCTGGCATCTGACTGGGTAAGTCCAGACGGGATGACTGAGGCAGGTCTTGAGAGTGTTATCTGGGAGGAGTTTGATCCTGTGGCTCCCGAGGATGTGGACAGGATCCTGGGACGGCTGAACGCGACCACATGTTTATTGGACCCGTGTCCCTCCTGGTTGGTACTGGCTTCCCGGGAGGTTACACGAGGCTGGCTCCAGAGGATTGTTAACGCTTCTCTGAGTGAGGGGGTCCTGCTGGCCGCTTTGAAAGAAGCGGTGGTGGGGCCCCTCCTCAAGAAGCCCTCTCTGGATCCGGCTGTTTTGGCTAACTATCGTCCAGCTCCAACCTTCGCTTCGTTGCGAAGGTTGTTGAGAATGTGGTGGCGCGGCAGCTTCCCCAGTACCTGGATGAAGCTGTCTATCTAGACCCGCTCCAGTCCGGCTTCAGGCCTGGGCACAGCAAAGAAACAGGAAGAGGCAAAAAGATTGGAGAGAGAAAGAACGGAGAGAGAGGGAGCGAGGGAAAAGACTCAAAGAATTACCAGAAACACAACAAAATTGAAAATCACAAATAGATAAACTCGATAGAGATGGAAGGAGAAATAAAAATTATATCAATTAATATAAACGGACTCAACTCCCCAAGGAAAAGGAAATATATATTTATGAAATTGCAAAAATTGGACTTAGATGTGATAACTTTACAAGAAGTACACATTAAAAGACAGCAACAAATATTGTTGGAAAATCAAAAATTAGGAAAATTATTCACATCCCTAGGAGATAATAAGAAGAGAGGAGTGGCAACTTATGTCAAAAACCATTTAAAAGCTAAACAGATATATACAGATTCGGAAGGACGTATTTTAATAACTGAAATACAAACAGAAACAAAGAAAATATTGCTAGCTTCTATCTATGCACCTAATGGAAACCAGAGAGAATTTTACAAGAAACTACATGATACAATTAAAGATTTGGAGTACAAAAATATCTGTGTTGTCGGAGACTTCAATGCAATCGTGAATATACAAGATGACTATCGAAGTAATAAACAAAGTAAGACTCGAAAAAGAATCTTACCGGATACATTTAAGGATATCACTGAAGAATTGCAATTACATGATGGATGGAGAGAGGCCAACAAACAAACCAAACAATATACCTTCTACTCAAATCCACACCAGTCATGGTCTCGGATTGACATGGCCTGGATGACGCCAGACCTCAGGAAGGATCTACAAGACATCGAAATTATACCAAATATATGGGCCGACCATAATCCTATAAAAATAACATGGAGAGGACAGCGAAAGCAGAAGAGGTGGATGATGGACACTGGAATAATAAAAGATAGAGATTATGTGCAGATGATGGAGAACGAACTTAGAATATTTTATCAAATAAACACAAAGGAGCAGACTTCAGTACAGAATCTGTGGGACACTACTAAGGCCTATATAAGAGGCCTCACAACAGCATACACAGCAAAAAAAATAAAGATAAACAACAAAAGAGGAAAAAATTAATGGAAGAACTCAACATATATGAGTCACAATTACAGAAACAGCCTGACGACAAAACAACAAGGGAAAAATTGAATCGTACTAAACATGAGTTGAACTTAATTACACAAGCAGAAATCGCACAGAAAATGAAAATGGCCAAGCAGAAATACTTTGAATATGCAAACAAAACAGGTCGCTGGCTGGCATACAGACTGAAGAAAGAGAGGGAAAAAAGAATAATATACCAATTGCAGGATGAAACAGGACAACTATATAGTATGAATTTAGATAAAAAACGTATAGTAAGGGAATTCTATCAAAACCTCTACACACAAAAAGAGACTCAAGACCAAGATATTATGGAATACCTACAAAAAGCAAATATCCAGAAATTAGAGGAATCCCACAGAGAAATACTGAGTAAACCAATAACAATGATGGAGTTGATGGAAGCCCGAAAGAAACAGAAGAACAACAAAGTCCCAGGTCCGGATGGAATTCCAACGGAATTTTATAAAAACTGCCAGTCTGCAATAGACGAACTACTACTACAAGTTCTCAATGAGGCACTGCTGGAAGCAGAAACACCTAAATCTTGGGCCGAAACAATTATCTCACTCATCCCCAAAGAAGATACGGATCCGACTAAAGTCCAAAATTATAGACCCATCTCGCTGTTAAATGTAGATTATAAACTATTCATGACAATTATAGCACAGAGGCTGAAAACAATTATACATAATTATATACACCCCGACCAAAATGGTTTTGTCCCAAAGAGACAAATAAAAAACAACATGAGGACAATAATAAATGTTCTGGAATACTACGAGCAAAACATCAATAATCAGGTAGCGCTAATCTTTCTCGACGCGCAAAAGGCGTTCGACAATTTGAATTAGAAATTCCTTATAGCACAACTGCAGATTATGAATTTCGGCGACAAATTCCTGAAAATGATTAAGAAAATATATTCTTCCCAGACAGCGAGAATTATAATTAATGGAGATATGACCGAAAAAATAAGCATTTTTTCTGAAATGATATCGCCTCTACTGTTTATAATCTCACTGGAAGTCCTTCTAAAGGAAGTAAGAAAGGAAGAAGAAATAAAAGGACTGAAGATAAGGAATGAGGAGTATAAATTACAGGCTTTCGCGGATGATGTGGTCTTCATAGTGGATCAGCCGGAAGTAGCGGGAGTCAAATTATTGGAGAAGATAGAGGAGTATGGCAAAGTGGCGGGGCTTAAGATCAATAAACAAAAAACCAAAGTCTTGACCAAAAATATGACAACGACACAAGAGGAAAAATTAGAAGAAGAATTAGGAATGCAAATTGCGAAGAAAGTAAAATATTTGGGAATCTGGCTTACTACAAAAGCAACAACTATTAGAGAGGACAATTACACTAAATTGATGAAGCAAATTAGAAAAGACTTGGAAAGATGGAATAAGGTACAACTATCATTTCTTGGCAGAATAGCGTCTGTAAAGATGAACATATTACCAAGACTCCTATATCTCTTCCAAGTGATACCAATGGTCCGGGAAAAGATTTCTTTAAGGATCTCAACAAGACAATAATGAAATACATCTGGCAAGGAAAGAAAGCTAGAATTAAAATAAGATGCTTACAGGACACAAAGGAGAGGGGAGGCCTAGGTCTACCAGACTGGGAGCTATATTACAAGGCGGCGGCGTTGAATTGGATCAGAGAATGGATAGATCTATCAAATAGGAGAACGCTATACTTAGAGGGATTTGATTTGAGTCGAGGTTGGCATGCCTTTCTGTGGGAAGGCACAGACAAGCAACATCCGTACTTCCAGAGACATGTAATAAGAGGTGCACTATATAAAACGTGGCAAGGTATCAGAAGGCAACACTACAGTAAAATCCCACGATGGTTGTCGCCTATGGAGGCGCTAATTTATCCAAACACTATAGAAATAGGAAAGATGCGGAAATATCAAGAATTGTTGAGTAGTGAGGGAGACCTACTTACGAGACAAGAACTGGAAAAACGAGGCATTATGATTGATTGGTGGCCATACCTTCAAATTGAGTCAAAATATACAGCAGACTGGAGACATTATGATTTTCAAAGCCAACCAAGTGAACTAGATAAAATTTTAAAAGGACAGATGAGAAAATAATATCTAAAATTTATGGATATTTAATAAGGTATAAATTAGAGGAGGAAACGGTGAAAGAAAACATGGTAAGCTGGGCAAGAAATATAGGTCACAATATAGAGTTGGACAGATGGGACAAGCTATGGGCAGAAAATTATAAGATGACACTGTCGATTCCATACAAAGAAAATTTATACAAGATATTTTATAGATGGCACCTTCCTCCAGCACGTTTGGCTAAAATGTTTCCAAACACATCACCAATGTGTTGGAAGTGCAAGACACAAATGGGGACATATTACCATCTCTGGTGGTCTTGCAGGAAGGCACAACGCTACTGGCAAGAGATTAAGAGAATAGTTGAAGAAACAACGAGGCAAAGTGTAGAAATGAAACCAGAACTCTTTCTATTTGGAATGACTACACCACAGTGTACCAAGGAGATAAAATATCTTACCATCCACATATTGACAGCGGCACATATAGTGTACGCTCAGAATTGGAAATTCGAGATAATACCAACAGAAGAAAAAATAATAACAAAAATAAATGAATGCGCAGAGATGGATAGGCTCACAAAAGAGCTCCAAGATAAAGAGAACACTGACTTTTATTTAGTTTGGCAAAAATGGTACACATGGTTAGAAAGAAGGATAGGGCCAACAACATAGGACATTAGGAGAACATAACTCAAGAATTGTAGAAATAGATTCATGAGATGAGCCATAGGATTGTATAAATAAATGGTTAATATGATTGTAGAAAGATACTGCTGAACTTCAATGAATGTATTAAGGTATAAGCAAGTAAATTTGTAAATAGTATGATTAAGGAAAATTGGTTAAATGGACATTAATCACCGATGCGAAGGTTTTCTAGAAGTTAGTCGATTGACTTTTTGTTAATGTATAAGTGTTTACATGTATTTGTGTTTTACATTTGTTTATGTTAATAAAATTTAATTAAAAAAAAATAAAAAAGAAACAGCATTGGTCACGTTGGTGGATGATCTCTGGAGGGCTCGGGATAGGGATTGTTCCTCTATCCTGGTCCTGTTAGATCTCTCAGCGGCTTTTGATACCATTGACCATGGTATCATGTTGCACCGGTTGAAGGGGCTGGGGGTGGGGGGCACCGTTTTGCGGTGGTTCTCCTCCTATCTCTCTGACCGGTCGCAATCTGTGTTGACAGAGGGGCAGCGGTCGACCTCAGTGCGCTCACATATGACACCTCTCCTGCACAAGCTGCACTGGCTTCCTGTGGTCTTCCGGGTGCGCTTCAAGGTGTTGGTGACCACCTTTAAAGCGCTCCATGGCTTAGGGCCGGGGTATCTGCGAGACCGCCTTCTGCCACCAATAGCCTCCCACCAACCAGTTCGCTCGCACAAAGAAGCCTTCTCAGGGTGCCGTTGGCCAGACAGTGCCAGCTGGCGACCCCCAGGGGGACAGCCTTCTCTGTGGCAGCACCTGCCCTCTGGAATGACCTACCCCCTGAGATACGCATGATATCAGACTTCCGGACTTTTCGTCGGGTCCTGAAAACACACTTATTCCATCTAGCCAGGCTGGCTTGATCCCATCCTCTCAGTTTTAATTGAATTCGGTTTTAATTGGGTTGTTTTAAATTTTGGGCCGAAATTATTTAATTGTTTTTTAAACTGTTTTTAAATTTTATATGCTATGTTTTATCTCGGCTGTACACCGCCCTGAGTCCCGCTAGAGAAGGGCGGTATAGAAATAAAATAAAATAAATAAATAAAAAATCAGCATTGGGCCGGTGTAAATTCGATGGACAATCAGACACAATTTGGCGGATATTTTGTGAAGGAACACCATAATTACACTGAGGGGTAGAGACAAGACCCCACCTAAACAATGAGTCCTGACAGACACCATGTTGGGTACGGATGCTGTTCAGAGTTGACCAATGCTGTCAAGGAAGGTCAAAACTTGCCACCTTTTGTGTAGGGTCATCTACATAACTGCCTATATCTGGGCATTCAGCAGTCCATTTGGTTTTCCACTGTGTGTTGATGTCGAAGTTGTTAGACAGCTGTTGAGCGAGTGCCAGAGAGGGCTTCCTGGATTTAACCCTGCCAATTTTGGAGTATTACAACTAAATAAGCAAGCACATGGTTCATGCAAAGGGCCTTGTTTCTTGAAAACTGTGGTATAGAAGATCTGAATTAGCAAAGGACAGTTATTACTATTTGTTTTTCCAAAGACTTATCCTATAGGCATCTCAAGGTGAGCATTATGTAAATGCTCACCTTGAAATGCTCACTCATTTTGGGGCTCCTATCAGAATTTATAGACCATAGAATAATAGGGCCTAGCTATCTTCGAGACCGCCTGCTGCTACCGACGACCTCCCAGCCACCCGTGCGCTCCCACAGAGAGGGCCTCCTCAGGGTGCCATCAGCCAAACAATGTAGGCTGGTGACCCCCAGGGGGAGAGCCTTCTCTGTGGGGGCACCTACCCTCTGGAATCAGCTGCCCCCAGAGATAAGGAGAATCCAAGACCTCAGTGCCTTCCGCTGTGCCCTTAAAACCCACTTTTTCCAGCAAGCCGGGCTGGCTTAGGAAAATTTTTTTTTTTTAATTTTTAAATGTTTAATTGGTTTGTGTTTTTTTAAATTTTGGGCCAAATTTATATAGATTTTAATTGTTTTTAATATTTGTATTTCATGTTTTTAATTCTGGCTGTGCACCGCCCTGAGTCCTCAGGGAGAAGGGCGGTATATAAATTGAAAAATAAAATAAAAATAAAAATAAAATAAAATAAAATAAATAAATAGTACACAATTAAAAAATACATACCCATCCACAAGACCCTGTTGTTTAATGATCCTGTGTGATTCTTCTCTTGAGATCCTGCCATGAAACCAGTGTTGTGTCCTATGAATAACTGATGAAAAAATGGTTACAGCTAATGTATTAAAATATGTATATTGCAGTACATGCTTTATCTTTGTTTATTATGTTCCTAACTGCAATAATTCAAACTATGATTTCTGGTGGTTTATACTGTAAAAGCAGAACAAACAAAAATATAGTATTAAGAAAATAAAATAAAAAATAATATCACGATACAGTAATACAAGGTTCAAAAGTTGGTTCTGAAAAATGAAGCTGTTCATTTAACTTTAGAGGGAGTATTCTCTAATGTGAGGCACGGTAACTCAAAAACAAACCTTTTGAACCCTAGACCCTCTGGCATCATGGGCTCAGATGCCATTAGCAGATGATTATGGACAGTAAGTTCTTGGAAGTTTTCTGTATAGGAAAAGCAGTCCTCTAGTTACCTTGCTGCCAAGCCACAAATGACTTGTGAAAATGTAATTTGCATTGAATTGCATTGAAATGTATCTCTAACACACTTGCACACACACACACGTGCGTGCACACACACACACACGTGTGTGTGTGTGTGTGTGTGTGTGTGTGTGTGTGTCTGTATATATACCATTTTCCCCAAAATAAGACATCCCCTGATAATAAGCCTAATCGGGCTTTTGAGCGCATGGCAAAAAGGCCAAGCGCTTATTTCAGGGTTCAAAAAAATATAAGACAGGGTCTTATTTTTGGGGAAACACGGTGTGTGTGTGTGTGTGTGTGTGTGTGTGTATATATATATATAGATTTTCTATTACATAACAATTTTTTAACTATTATGAACTCCCCAGAGTTACTTTGTGAGATGGTGATTATATAAATTTGATTGATAGATACACAGATATGAGAATCACATAACATTTTTAATCCCATCTCCTACCTAAGCATGTTCTTGTTATATCCTTCTGCCCTGCTCTGTTTTATACTTTTAGAAGTACTATGCATCTTTTTTTAAGTATCAAAAATGTATGTATTTAAGGAATTCATATGGCTGACCAACTCAAACTTTGCAAATACAGATGACATGCCACAGACTAAAAACATTTAGTCTGAAATTTCAATTTCAATTTTTGTATTTATTTATATTAATTTTCTTTAATATAAATGGAGTCTTGCACATCTCCAATGATTTGTTTTATTTATTTATCTAGTCCATCTGCTGGTCTCACCACGGTAATAAAGATGGGATATAACACAAGCTTCTCTAAAATGACGTGAAATAAATTCAGAAATACTTCCATGTAAGGAAGGTTTCTGAATCCGGATCTGTTGAATCTGATCAAGCTAAAAAACATAAGCCAGAAAGTACAAATTTCAGCAGAACAAATAATTATGTAAATTATGGATATCAGATACAACAGGTTCTTATAAATGTCTCTATGTAAAAGGTTTTTTTTAATGAAGTAACATTTTTCTTCATAGTACATAACCATAAGCCAACCTGAATTCCTTCATTTTTTTATGTCCATGACCTTAACATTTTAAGAACCATTAAGATTATACACACACACACACACACACACACACACACACACAAACACACAATATATAGTACTATATGTTATTAAACAGAATAAAACCTGTTTAGTAATCAACCCAACCAGGACTCAAACCCCTAAAAGTTGTACTGTACAAGTAGTTCCCAGTTTAAGAACGAGTTCTCTTTCCAAGATCTGTCATTAAACTGAATTTGTAATCCAGAACAGTTTAATTATACAATATTGCATAAGTAAATTGTGTTTTTAACTCAAATTTTGCCACAATAGATATTCTTAATTATGGGTCAAACTTACACTGGGGTATTCTTAACTCAGGGATTTACCATACTACCATGTTTACTACCGATTCATGGGCTCAGGGATTAGTCAGGTGTAAAGTAAATTTACTGACAGCCAGTTAAAATACAAAGACTTCTTCAACTCCTGGTGAGTTCCTTGCCCTATCTATGTAGTCTTAACAATAATGTTGAAATAGTTGGTCACTACCTTTTTCCAGATGTTTCAACTTCTTAGTCTAGCTTGTTATCCTTAGATTTTGTAGTGTCTATTATCCAACCTCCTGCTTAGCATTTTTAAGGTTAGTGAAGACTGTCTAGAACCTGCCACACACATTGAAAATTAAGTACACTGTATGCACAATTATTAGGCAAGGGAGTATTTTGACCATATCATTTTAATCCATATTTTCCATCTTCAAGCTATATAAACTTGAATGCTTAGTGTATATAAGCATATCAGTGATGTGAAGGAGGGAGGGTGTGGCCTAAGGAGATCAACACAGGCAGCTTCTTTTCCTCAGGCAAAATGGGCCATTTAACTGACTCTGAAAAGTCAAAAATTGTAAAGTCTTTCAGAGGGATGCAGCACTCTTGAAATTGCTAAAATATTGGGGTGTGATCACAGAAACAGCAAATGTTTTGTTGCAAGAAACGTGTTGAGAAAAAAAAGATGCACCTTAACTGCCAAAGATTTGAAAAGAATCAAACATGAAGCTACCAAGAACCCATTATCCTCCAGTGCTGTCATATTCCAGACTGCAACCTACCTGGAATACCCAGAAGAACAAGGTGTTCACTGCTCAGAGAGATGGCCAAGGTGAGGAAGGCTGAAACCCGACTACCACTGAAGAAGACATATAAGTTGAAATGGCAAGACTGGGCCAAGAAATATCTGAAGACAAATTTTTAAAAGGTGTTATGGACTGATGATGGACCAGATGGATAGGCCTGTGACTGGATCAGTAAGGTGCAGAGCTCCACTTAGATGCAGATGCTAGCAAGTGGAGATACTGGTATGGGCTGGTATATTAAAAATCAGCTTATTGAACTTTTTCAGGTTGAAGATGGATTCAAAATCAAGTCTCAAACCTACTGCCAGTTTTTAGAAGACACTTTCTCCAAGCAGTGATACTGGAAAAAGTCTGCATCTTTCAAGAAGACCATGATTTTTATGCAGGACAATGCTCCATCATATGCATCAAAGTACTCCATTGTGTGACTAGCCAGTAAAGACCTTAAAGATGAAAGAAAAATGACAAGGTCCTCTTCCTCACCTGACCTACACCCTATTGAGAACTTGTGGGCCCTTCTTAAACAGGAGATTTATGGTGAAGGAAAACAGTACACCTCTCTGAATAGTGTCTGGGAGGCTGTGGTTGCTGCTGCATAAAAGGTTGATATCAACAGATCAAGAAACTGACAAGAGTCCATGAATGTAAGGCTTTTGATTGTTATTGAAAAGAAAGAGGGCTACATTGGTCACTGATTTTTTTTTTCAAATGTCAGAAATGTTTATTTGTAAATTTTGTTTGTTCATTATTCTCACTTTAATAGATGCAAATAAACAAGTGTGATGGGCAAATTTTCATTTTTCATTTAGTTGCATAATAATTTCCCACATATTATTTGCTCAATAATTGTGCACACATAGATATTCTCCTAAGAAAGCCAAAACCTCACTTTTACTTTCTTAAAGGTTTGAGGTTTATTAACATTTTGGATTGACCGAGAGCACTGTAGTTGTTCAATAATAAAATTAATCCTCCAAAATACAATTTGCCTAATAATTGTACACACAGTGTAATTTACATTAAATTACTTAAAAGTCAGTTGATTTTGATGGGTCTGTATTCCCTATGTTTAAAAAGTGATTCCTAGGTCTACAATGTAAAGAACCTAAAACTCGAACATTGCCTGCTGTGAATTACCTCTTTTTGAGGGGGAGAGGAGGCAAATAAGAAAGATGATCCCGCTTAAATAGAACAATACCAATAGAACTGGTTTGAGTCAAGTTAAATGTGAAATCAAAATGCAGTGACTCAACTTTCACATTGAAAGAAAAAGACTAAACTTAGCAGTTGCTATTCTTCTTACTTGTGCTCAGCAAGGAAGGATGAAGTGGACTTTGATTCCCCAAAGTGTTCATTCTTGTGCTACGTTTCTGCAGAACAAAGCATAGAATTATTAAGCATTAGCAGCTGTATAGAGCAAAAAGCAAAAAGTCTGAACTCGTTCCCGAGAAAAAAGAAATCCAGATGCAAACTTATGAAGCTCACTGGAGTGGGATGTGGACCACAAACAACATCCTGAGCTCTCTGGTAGAAAGGCAGGATAAAACTAATTCATGGAAAGCAAATAATATTATTTTGAATATCAATTGCTATGAATAGTGAAAATGGTGATTTTACAATTATTTACAGGAAAAATAGTGTATAGAGGCAATCTAATATACCATATTTTTCAGTGTACAAGACGCACTCCCCCCCCCCCAAAGTGGGTGGAAATGTTTGTGTATCTTATACAGCGAATGTTGCCAAAGCCCCACCCAACCACCAGCTCCACCCTTTGGCCTCTGCCTCTGCGCAATTTGCCTCCTTGCAGCAAACAGCCTGGTCAACTTCAGCACAGTCTGATTTAGCATGAGCAACTGATTGGCGGTTGCATCTGCCTCCTGGAATACCGCCTGTCAGCTGTTACAAGCTGCAGGCATTGCCACTGCCCATCACCACTACCGGTTCCCCCATTTTTGGCCTCCGTGTGCCCCATTTTTGGCCTTCGGGTGCCCCATTTTTGGCCAGTTCCAGGTGGCGGGGGTTGTGATCCCCGCAGCCTGGAACAGCTGATAGCCTGTATTCCGGGAGGCAGATCCAACCACCAATCAGCTGCTCGTGCTAAATCAGGCTGTGATGAAGCTGACCAGGTGGTTTGCTCTTTGCTGCAAGGAGGCAAATTGCAAAGAGGCAGAGGCAGATTTTTTTCCTCCCCAAAAGCTATAGTCCAGAGCGTCTTATAGTCAGAAAAATACGGCATATTTTATATATAACATAAATTTGTTGATATATAAGATTATATATTAATTAATTAATTAAGCATCAGTTTGGTTTAATGATAAAAGTGCTGGCCAGAAACCAGTTCTAGGTCTGCCTGGGCCAATCATTTTGTCTCAACACAACCCACCTCATAAGATTTTTGTTATAGGGAAAATAGGAAAAAGGAGTTAAGGTATATTTCTGTGTTGAGCTGATCAAAAATAAGTACATAAAAAGTCAGGACAATAACAATAATTTTCTTCCATACCGAAGAACTACCTATTGCAGGGGTGTCGAACTTGTGCTGTCACATTGTCATCATGTGATGTATTGTGACTTTTTCCCCCTTCACTAAACCAGAGGTGAGTGTGGCCAACACGTGATGCATCCAAGCCACGGTCACGAGTTTGACACCCCTGGCCTATTGTTTCATTAAAAAACCAAGGAGCAGAACATTAGACATTCACTATCTAAGAATGGAGATGTGGTAAGTAGATTGAAGAGAAAAGCATCTGTATAATATGAACACGAAGAACAGGATAAAAATATCTGTACCCATCTATATCCATTGCCCCTTTATTCAATTAATGCATGAAGAAGGCATATCCTGACATCTCTTCCTTAGATAGTAGACTTTGCCCTCATACATCTTCTTAACATGAAACATCATCTTAACATGTGTAAAATGCCACCCAAATGACTATAATGATTTTCCTAATAAACATTCCCACATCAGAGGAATCACACCCTGAAATGTCATTACCATCTCATTACTAAGGGACATTTGAAGAACCATTAACAGTGACATAGTAAATAATGTCTTTCTTCAGTCAAATTTCAAATTCCTTTAAAAACATGACTATAACAGCACCTGTTCCATAGCTGATAACTCCACCTATTTTGCAGTCCCATGACTTGGGACTGCTTACAATCCAAGATACAAGAGATTACAAAAATAATGAAGTGCTCTTCTAACTTGTGATTGTTTTGCATAAATATTTACAGAAAAAGATTTGCTAATTGGCAAAGCAGAATGCAATCTCTTACCCTCCATGCATGGCCTTCTTCCAAAGCTGCACACTGTGCTTCTTCTGGATTTTCAATCACTCTTCCTATTTGTCCAGAAAAATCCATTGCTACTAATGAATTTTCAGAAACACTTCTCTGAAAGATTTTTTAATAAGATAATTAAAATAAAAATAAAATAAAAACTGAAATCCTAGAAAAATAACACCTGGGAAGAATATATAAAATATCTGCTAATATGACTGCAATCACTCATTCAAAGAAAAACTTGATGAAATAAATCAAGCAGACATTAAACCATGGGTATGAAAACTATGGTTCCCAATGGCTCCAACAGCACGTTATGGTGAGGTATGTAATTCAGAACAGACCTCCAACTAAATTTAAAATAAATTCCAAAGGACAACAAATAGAACAGTGTTTCTCAACCTCAGAACTTAGTTATATGGACTTTTAACTCCCAAAATTCCCTAGCCAAAATCACTGAAATTAAACTGTTCTAATCACTCCCTGACAAGACAGACAATAAAATTCTGAGATAAATAGCAGAGTACAACTTCTAGCGATCTCATTTATTGGTATATAATTAACAGTAGTTAGGCAAATTGGATTTGCATTGTAATCCCATCCTTTAGTGCACTTTGCATATTATTTCATTTTACTGATTAGTGATATTCTTTTTTACTTCTTTGGTTTCCTTATGACAAAAATTACTAGGAGTGTAACATGATTATCATTCTGACTCTATAAAAGTGTAGGGAGTGTTTCTCAACCTTGGCAATGTTACGATGAGTGAACTTCAATTTCATGCTGGCTAGGGAAAACTGGGAATTGAAATCCAGACATTCTGAAAGTTGAGGAAAAATGGTGTAGGGAATGTCAGGACTGGGTAGTTAAAAGCTACTTTATATCATTCAATAAAAAAAAGCCACTCGAACTCCTGGTTGCATATTAGACAAATAATCTCTGTACTTAAATTAACTTACCGCAGGAGTGGCAAAGTGAGGAAGCAGACTGTTCCTCTGTTGTGGAATTCTGTAATTTTGGTATAGCAACATCCCATACTGAAAAGTGGAGAGAGAAAAAAAATCATCTGTTTTTTTTTTTTATTATTCAGATTGTGATTTTTATTTTATTTTTTTGCTTGGTTTAAATCACAGACTTTGGCTTAGGAATTCTGTTCAGTTTTCAGTTTCTTCTGAAGAAGGTAACTGCAGTAAAAGAATAACCCCTCTATTTCTACAGAGATAGCAAAATAGGACATTCATATTGAAATGTGCACTATTTTACTACTGAATACATAGATCATTATAGCATAGAAGAAACAACCTGCTTTATTTATTATTTATTTATTAGATTTATTTATTAGATTTATTTATTTATTAGATTTATTGAACTTAAACAGTGTGACACGAAAACCAAAAATAATAACTAAACAACAAAAAGAGGACTCCATTCAATTAGACTCAAATGCTAGGGTATCCTCAATCATTCTCTTTTGTTTCTAGCTCTTCTCTTTTGTTAAAACAATTTGTAGTCCCAGAATTAAATCAATCAATCAGTTGAACAGCTTGCCATGAGAAGCTGTAGGTGCTCTATCAGCGGAAGCTTTTAAGAAGGGATTGGATAGCCATTTATCTGGAATGGTATATGGTTTCCTGCTTAATCAGGGGGTGGAGCAGAACAGGGGTGTCAAACTTAAGACCTAGGGACCAGACCCGGCCTGTGGGGTGTTTAGATCTGGCCTGCGGGACTGCCCTGGAAACAACAAAGGACTGGCCCACAGTGCCTCTGCCAGTAAAAATGGAGCTCCCGAGGGCATGCAGCCCTCCCAAGATCTGTTTTCACTGCAGGAGACTGCCCCAGCCAAAAATGGAGCTCGGGAGCTCATTTTTGCTGGCAAAGTGCTCAGGCAACCATAGGAGTCTCACCTGGCATGAGTGATGTCACCCACACCCTGACACCACCCCAGAGGTCAAACACAACCCTGATGCGGCCCTCAATGAAATCGAGTTTGACACCCCTGAACTAAATGATCTCCAAGCTCCTTCCAACTCTGCTATTCTTCATACCATTCTCAAGAAATGGCTATTACTTTTATTATTTATCCAATCCAGAGCAATACAGATAATCCTCATTTAATGACTACAACTGGAGCCAGAAACTTTGTTGCTAAATGAAGTAGTTGCTAAGTGGGAAAACAGAGAGCTGGAATGTGCCAAAGGTGCTTTTTTCAGGAGGCTACTGGACTTCCTTGTTTTTTCTTTTGAAGTCGTTTCGCTTCTCATCCAAGAAGCTTCTTCAGCTTCAGGAAGGATTTATATTTCTTATAGACAGCTGGTAATCTGCATCCTTTTAGAGTGTCGTTGAAGCACTTGGAGGTTTATCTGTGTCTTCAGGGTCACCTGAACCAGGAGCACTACTCAGATGACCCTGAAGGATGCAGATTACCAGCTGTCTGCAAGGAATATAAATCCTTCCATTCCCCACTGTCCTGTCAGAGCTGAAGAAGCTTCTTGGATGAGAAGGAAAACATCTTCAAAAGAAAAAACAAGAAAGTCCAGTTGCCTCCTAAAAAAAATCATCCTTGGGATGACCTGGAGGACTGATAATCTCTACAGACAATGAGCTGGAATATGTATTCTAGTTTAAAACTGACAAAATTGGGTGCTGGGATAATTAATAATGGGAATTACATTCCCTCATTGTTAACCTTTAAATTCAAAACATTCTTAAAGATCCATCTCATCCTGGGCACCCTTTTCTGGAACTATTACCATCAGGCAGAGGGTACAGGATAATAAAAACAAGGACAAATAGGCTGAAAAACAGCTTCTATCCCAGGACAATAACCATATTGAATTCTACGGTATAGTGCAATATCAGGTTTTCAATTTCAATTATATAGAATATAAAGGATTTATGTTTGTGTTTTTATTTTTATAGTTATAATGTACACTGAAGACAGCATTTAATTTGCAATGTGCAAATATTGTCATGTGCAATGACAATAAACTAAACTAAACTAATTCATTCATTCGGTAGGAAGGGTTTACATGAGGGTAATCTCTCCACTCTGTGAGGAAGGGAGGGGGAAAAAAGATAAGCAATTTTTGTAGCCAATCTCTCTTGTGCCTGAACTGTTTTTTTCTCCTCCTTCCTTGCACTGTGGAGGCTACAAAGGAAGGAATTATGAGAGAGTAAGCAGGTATACATTGGGGAATATACTGGCTGTTCTTGTAGCACATCACCACATTTCTTTTGATATGTATCCTCCATAATGTGCCTACTGCTCTCTTGAAATACCTTCCTCTCCAATCTTTTTGCTCTGCAAAGTGGGGGGGGGGGGATAAACAACCTGTCAGGAGAGAACATTGCCTGGCTGCAATGACTACAACTTGCAAATGTCACGAATGCAAGCATTAGTTATAAGGTTACTTTTTCAACATAACTGTAATTTTGAACAAGGCACTCGCATGCAAGAACTACCTGTAATAGTCTGAAACACTAAAATTGCTCTTTCATCCAAACATTCATTGTTCTTTTTCTTTCCTTTATTAATCAGGCCTGCAGTCTAATTCTTGTCAAATGCTATCTCTCCTTCATGATTATACACTGCTCAAAAAAAAATAAAGCGGACACAAAAATAAGACATCCTAGATCTGAATGAATGAAATATTTGTAGTAAATACTTTGTTCATTACATAGTTGAAATGTGCTAACAACAAAATCACACAACAGGAGGACTTCCGGTGCAGCAGTCAGGGCGAAAGGATCGGCGCTGCGTTAGCTCCGCAGGACCGACTGAATTTCCAGACCTCCGCGGCGTTTTTCTTTGCCGTTCTCAGCCCCAGAGAGGTTGAGAGAGCAGAGGGGCTTTTCTTCGGAGGTGAGAGGGGGGAGTGCGACCCACTCCCCACAACGAAGTGTGAGCTCCGAGGATCCGGAGGACAGGAAGAAGGCCGCGAAACAGCGGCCCCGAAGCCAATGACGCTGCGGTTTTGACCGGCTCGGGGAGACAAGGCAAAACAGAACGGATAAAGAGGAAGAAGGAGAGCGATTTGAAGATTAAAGGGATTGTATAGCGACCGGAGAAAATAGCGGCAGCTTAAACTACAAGTGAAAGAAGCTTTTATTTACCAACTTTGTGACTATCTTGCTGCTGTGGAATCGAAAGAAACGGAAGTAAGACTCAATTAGACTACTGAATTATAGTGGGCTAAAGAATAATAAGCCTGGATCTACCAACTACAAGAAGTGGAGGATGAATAGGGGGTAAAACTTCTCCTGATCCCCCCTCCTCCCAGGAGCTTTAACAGTGAGCCCTTTCCGGTTTAATTTAATTATTCTGATGAACTCTGATGAATTACATTAATTAATTTGATATTGGTGATTAATACCCCCCTAAAGAATCAATTGACGATTTATATTTGTTTGTCTAACATCCTTAATATTTAATTGTTTATAACTGTTTACTAATTGCTTATAAGGATTGTGGATTAATTGATTGACTATCAATATATATATATTTATGCTTAGACCGTATATTAAATCCAGATAGATAAGATAAACTAGATTTGATTTAGAATTATATAGGATTGAGATTAAGAACAGTAAGAGCTTATTCAAAGGGGGTGTTAAGTTAAATAGACGAAATAATAATTGTGTATGATAAGTTGGGAAGATCTCTTTTGCTTAGCCAATATGTCCACCACAGTCACATCCACGAAAGTAACCAAGAAACATATAGCCTCTACAGTGGCATCCTCCCCGATAACCACTCCTCCAGGATTAAGAAAATCATCTGAAAATTTACCATCAGCAGAGAAGCCAATTACTATGCAAGGCATGCAGGCGATGTTTCAAAATATCCAAGAAATCATGGAAAAAAATCAAGAATCAATTGCTAAAAGTTTTGATGACCTGAAAACTGAGATGAGTGGACTAAGAGGAGAAATTATACAAATAAAGGAGACTTTGGGAGAACTGAAAACAACCATCTTGGAACATGAAGAATGATTGATAGAGGTGGAAAAAACCTCCGAAAGAGTTGAAATCCAAATCGACAAGTGTGAAAAGAAGTATGCGCAAGCGGTGGGGGAAATTGAGGATGAAATAGTCTTCTTAGAGATGGAGAAATCCACCTTTTTCCTACGTCTCCAAAATGTGGTTGAGGACAAAGAAGAACAGCTGGATGAAATTGTGGGAGAAGTAATTGCAGAAGTAGTGGGGAGGAGAAAAGAGAAAGTACGTGGTGATATAGACGAAGCATACCGTGTATACACCAATTATGCGAGACGTCACAACTTGCCTAGAGAAGTACATGTGAGGCTAACCAAAAAGACTTTAAGAGACGAAACTCTCCACAAGGCCAGGGATCAGAGTGTTACATATAAAGGACAGCAGATCACAATTCTAAAACAGATCCCTAGAAGAGTGAGAGAGCAGAGACATAATTACCAATTTATAACCTCACAATTGAGAAAACATAATGCACCGTATCGATGGTTACTTCCTGAAGGACTCTTAGTGACATGGCAAGAGCGGAAAATTAAAATTGAGAGTATATACGATGCACAAGATTTTTGTGAGACTTATTTCGGACCTGGCGAAAGTGAAAGAGACAAAGAAGTAGTCAAAGAGAGTCAGAAAGATCAGAAAGAGGAGTGGAGAAAGGAGAGAGGAGCACAAGCAGATTGCGGAAAGGGGAAAAGAAATGGGAGGATGGGGGAAGAAGGGGGAATGGAAGAATATGGGATAGAGACTCGCTTAGCAGCTAAGATTAAAGGGGCAAACAGATAGAAATGAATCAAGGAGTGAGATTACTGACAGTAAATGTTAATGGTCTTAATGCCGCGACAAAAAGAAAACGCATTTTATCCAAGATAGTTAAAGCCAAAACGGATATAACATGTTTACAAGAGACCCACATCAAATTGTCACAAACAGGACTTCCGGTTGGCGACTTGAGGCGACAGGGTGTTGGGTGAGCGATCGCTGCTCCCCTACACCCCTTATTACCGCGTTTTGGGGACCCTTTAGGGGCGCAGGTCCCGGAGAGACC